TTTGATAACATAACATCAGAATCTGAAACCCTGATAAAAGTATCAGTATGCAGTATTATGAAAAGTACTACTGCATGCCAATATATTTTAAAGATGAGGTTTGTTTCAGCTCCTACTCACCAAAACTCAGCTGACCGCTGTTGTCTGAGCAGGCATCTGACCTGTAAAATATTCCAATATTTAAAACATGAACACACCCCCTGTGAGATCCAATCAGTGTCATGCTTTTATCAAACGAGTGATTAAGTTTGCATAGATAGCTTCATCTGCAGCACGATACTGCCGGAGCTTGTGAGAGCTGCTTCTTAATCAATCTGTCAGCTTCCTCTTGTAGATGTAATAACGCCTTCAAACTAGTCTGGTTATTCTCTCCTATTTCTTTTACTGTACTCTTTTCTGGTGTTACAGGCCATTTCAGTGAAAACGCAGACTATGCAAACTCATTGACCACTTCCTTCTTGATAACTGACGTAATGTGAACTAACCTGTCTGTGTTCCTTGCAGCAGTTTGATGAAAAAAAAGGGAAATGATTATTTCCTCCTAGTTATATCATTTTCTCTCCCATAAGGAAATATTACAAAGAGTGAAGCAGCAGAAGTTAGTTGTGAGGTTTAGTTTGTATGTGATGAAAAATTCTTACGCCTGAAGACATCTATGTGTTGATACCCTGGCCACATTTTTTATCATACTCAGTAACAGGTACCTTCTGTGACACTTAACACTGGTTGATCTTCTGCAAACAAGTGTTCCCGAGACAGCAAAAGGTCAGTTCGGAGTACTGGTTTTAGTTTTAAAGTTCATTGTAAAATTATTTTTTTCCAATGGAACAATAATAAGTCATCATCAAAGTTGACTTTGGTGAAAAACAATACTGCGGCTGCCTTGCTGCAGCGTCTTCCTGGAACACCTGACTTCAGAGAGTTTCCACTTGCTACGCGCCGTTCTTTGTTAACCAGTTTCCAGTGACTGACAACTTGTCCTTCAGTGCTCAAAATATCATCTTACAAGAAAAACAAGCAGTAAAACAAGTTGACTTACCCACAACTGAGAAGCCAGTTCTCAATCTTTCCTGCAAGGCATCCTGTGGAAATCGCACTTAAGATTATGACTGATCCCCACTGAAGGAACACATGCATTGTGCTATTATTAACTGACAGTTAGCCGCTTGTTGTCATGTATATCCTGTTATGTACTCGTGTTATTTTTGCTATTGGTCACAACAAATATATTTTTTAACCCACTATTTATTCTTTACCCAATAAACAGGGTATCCAGCTACTTATGTATCTTCAAGTTCAGCTGATCACTTGATGTATGCACCATGGAGGACGATCCCTCCCACGTTCCAGAATCTGCTCTTACCATCAGAGAACACATCATCGTCCGCTATGGAGGCAGATGGGAACGGGCACAGAGGCCCTTCGGGGTCTTCCAAAGTGACCCGCTGACGGCTGCTGTTGATCCATGCTCGCCGCCTCACTGTGGAGGACGAGCTCTCCATCGCTTCAGTTCACAGGACAGCCGGGGAACATGGCTCTGTCAAAGCTGCCAAGGTGCAACAAAAGAGCCGGGGATGAAATGTTGAAGCAGCAACACAGTGTTAGGCTTTAATGTTTACTTTAGGAGAATGAACACCTTTTTACTCTAAAGTCAATTGTATTCAGGATTTTCAGTGATATTTCCCTTCTCATTAAAATTGAGCCATTTTTGCATAGGGATATTAACAGCCGCTTGCTTATCAGTAGTGTTTCTAAGACATCTGTGCATAGATTATACTTGATATTGCAGTAAAAATGAGGTTACACGCAAATCAATCTAGCTATGACATTAAGTTCAGAGACTATACTGCTTAAGGCTCATCAAAGTCAGACAAACAGTTCAGGTGAAATATTGTACCTCCAGGACAGCTGGAGACCAGATAACAGACACAATATAAAACATATATAGATAAATATTCATTAAAAATTGGCATGTTATGGTTAAATGCTCATAAAGTGAATTTAGCAGTGCGAACAACATATAAACACAGATAATAGAAAAAGGTCGATTCTAGTTGCCTTCAGTATGACTGACTAACAGTTCAGTCTAAATCCCTTCAAAGTAAAAGCAGTTATTATTAATTAAAAGTCGTAATTTACTTTAATGTGTAAGGGAAACCAAGTGTAGTTTAGATAAATTTATCGATGAGATGTAAACCGTTATACTAATTAAGAATAATTATTTACTTACTTGATAATACAGCTTACAGGAGCCGTATGTTGGATGTATGTTCTCGATAATAAGACGGAGTAAGATTTTCTCCATTCAGCTACAGCGAAGCGTCTACATGCTGCCTTAGAGCTCAATCAATGCTGACAACCGAAAAGCAGCCTTACCTTCATCGGCGCAGGTTTCAGTTCTGTATCAGAGGCGTTCTTTGTCTCGTTTCCTGTATGTGGCGACTTAAATACGAGCAACTTCATCTGCAATCTTTACAAAACACTTAAAACTGCATCCAGCAGGCTCCCGTTTATCAACGACCGCTCGACGATTCTGGTGTATTTCCTTTCGAAAGCAGTCAGTTATAAGTCGGGCTGAATATGCGCGGATCTTGGCGGTGAAGCGGTTTGAGAAGCCTTTGTAGGAAGTAACTTTGCATCTCGTCTGAAATACCAAAGTTTTATCAGCGTGGGATGCAGCTGCTGCACATCCTGCAGAAACAAAAACACAGACAAGTCTGTGGAAATGTCAGAGGCAACGCTGATAGTGCGACACGAGTGATTTGAATGCAAATCATATGACAGGCAAATAGTGC